CTGGAGCAGGAGAAATTCTGTGCTCAGCTTTTTTTGTGCTTTCGGGATGAGGTTTCTGAGGGCAATGTGGAGCGGGGTGAGAGCGGAGGAGTCCAAACCCCAGCAGCCCGAGCTGCCCTGGGCAGCCGCCACCATTTATCAGGTTATTTGAGACAAGCACTCACCACCCGCCTCAAAGGGAACACAAACAGCTTCTCGGAAGCCTCCGGGCACATTAAATGCCACTCAAGAGAGCTCCAGTGAACGCCATGTACTTGAAAAGCAATACTGAGGAGTGACCCGGCGCTGGTTTTGAAGCATAACATCCTTCCCATCTCGACCAGATGAGTAGCCACAGATCTCACACACAAAGATGCTCAGCTGTCATCTTGGCAGCAGGGACTGAAGAAATGCCCCCACCACACTCCAGGCACCAAGCACTGATGGCTCAGAGCAGTATTTTTGGAAAATGTGGCTACAAAGCCCCCCCCTTCATTTACTTCTCATTAGCCTCCAATTATTTCTCACACTTGGCCACCTAGTGAGCCCCTACCCAAGTCTCCTTGGAGAAGTCCAAAGGAAAAGGAGCACGTCACCTGGAAAACAGCACTGCAGGCTCCTCCTGCCTTGTGTCTGCAACAGAAATGGGCTGGGACGAGGACTCTGCATTGCTCTTTCAAAGAGTTCATCCCAGTTTCAAGGCAAAAAATTTGCCCAGCAAGTCTCAGGGCAGCTCAGAACATTTATCAGCACTGCAAAAGCTCGAGCACAGCGCTGGGGAAATGGATGATGCTGCACTTTCTTGGTGTTTTACTCATTACTCTTGGAGGGGTCCATTAAGAAAATGAGACTTTACCAGGAGCACATGAATATTTCCAATTGATCTTGCAAAGAGTACAGATGGAGTCACTGCCAAGACAGTGCTGGCAGAGTCCACTGGATGGTGAACAGCCCCCTGAGTGAGCCCCAGACACATTTGCAGGCTAAAACCAGCAGAAGAGGGAGCTCTGATGTGCTACCTCACCTAAAACAAAACACCTTTGGGTGTGACACCTCCTGTGCCAGTCCTCAGGTGACATCCCACCCTCTCCCAAGAGATGGAAAGAAGATAGTGGAGGAGCAGCAGCCAACAATAGGAGCCAACCAGCTGCCCAAATCCCCCAAGGGTTATTTTTTTGTGATTTACAAATCCCTCTAAGGCCTTAGAAGGTGTCATCACTGCCTGCCCTTATCAGCTGCTCTCTCTCAAGGGGAGGGGACTTGCTTTGATGTTTCTTTATCCCCAGTGCACCCACCCTGGCTGCGTAAACTTGGGATGCCACCACGCTGCAGGCAGCACCTCGAGCTGTCCCTCCCACCTTGGCTGGGCAACGCAGTCCAGAAGGACTATCAGAATTCCAAACCCAGCTGCTTGAAAATCTAAAGAAATCTTCATTTCCATTGCAGAACTTCCATCCCTGGACTTTCTGAAGCTGCTCAGTGCACATTTAGGTCACCCGTCTTAAGCCATTCCTCTGCCAGGCACCATTTGTCCCCCCTTCCCCTCCCTCTGGCAGCTATTCTTTTATCCCAGACACCATCCAGAGCATCTCCCAAACACATCCCTGTCTTTAATGTCTATCCTGCAAAGCTCACTTCAAAAACTAAGGGTTTTTTTTTTTGTTTAAAACAGCTTTAAGTTGACAACAACAATAACTTGCGTTCACTTCCTTCCTTCCTCTGCTCCCAGTGACTTTTAGCCTCATTTTCTTTTTTTTGGTTTGTAAGTCAATAGTGGCAAAATTCCTAAAAACCCGTGGGTGAGCACCAGGAGTTCCCAGCACAGACCCCATAGAGATGCCACTGCTCTTAAAACCTCAGCAGGTTTTTTTTCTGCTGATTTTTTAGAGACAACTCTGCCAAGCCCACGGCGCAGCTCAATTAACAAAGTGGCTTAATCCAGCAGAGTGATAAATAACCGGGGAGCCAACAGGTCACTGCAATTCACTTGAGTAACCAGAATCTCTATCTGCTGCTTGGGCTTTTTCCAATCTCTGCCTGCTTTAGTGACGGATTTTAATTGCCTGTTCCCAAACAGTCCCACCGCAGCCTCTCGGTTAGGGGGGAGACACTTTCCTGGCCTCCTAATCCGAGCATGTCACCCCAACACATGTCCCCCGTGCACCCCAGCCCTCTCCAAGGCAAAGGGATATTTACTGAGGCTGTTTTCTCCGACAAGCATCAAAAAATACTAACATAAAACTAGATTTTCCCTTTTCCAAGCTCTCCTCACTGCTGGGAGGAGAGAAGGGATTTTTTCCCACCCTACTTACTAAGGGTTGAAGGCTTTCTACCAACATCCTGCAACCAGAGCACGGTCAGTCTGCTGCATATTCACAGTGATGTCCTAAACTCCAGTGAAACCCTGGGCAGGCCACAAAAATCCACCTTCCCAGCCCTCCAGCATCATGAAGCCTGTGGGAGGTTTTTCCCAAAGGATGGAGCTGGCAAATCCCTGCCCAAGGCACAGCCCCCAATTTCTTCCCCCCTCTATGCACAAGAGGAGCAGTTCATAGGGGATCTCTGAGCTGTAAGGAAACTTTATTTTTAAGACATTTCCTTCAATCTCACAGCAAAAAAAAAATCTGCTTTGCAAAGGAAAGAGCTGGGAGTTGTTAAAAAAGGGGGATTAACACTGGCAGGGACAGAGGAACGATGGAGAGGGAAAGGTTAATAATGCAGGGAAAGGGTTTCAACGTGGAAAAATTGCAAAATTATTTGGAGACGGAGCAGCAGCAGAGGCTGGATGAAGGAGGGCACTGAGGAGGCACACGAGGGTGAGGAGTGAGTCCTGTCCCACCCTGTCCTGCTAAACCCGACCCCCATCAACTCGCAGGAGCTCAAAGAAGAGCCATAAAAATAATGAGAGGGCTGGAAGAGCTGACATGCAGGAAGATTAAAAGGAACTAAACACGTACAGCCAAGGGGAAAGGGAAGGCAACAGCCAGAGACATCCACGGGTTGGGGGGGCAGTGGGGCTGAGCCCCCCTGGGGAGCACCATCCCCGCTCCCCCCACTGCAGCCGCCGCATTCCTTCCCTCTAATACAATCCCTAATTTAACAAGCGGAGAGGATCCCGGCAAACATCTTTGGGGAGGGGGGGGTGCATTACGTCAGGCACTAATTTAGGTCCTGGCTCTGGGCTGTGTCCCCATGGCACACGACTCCAGCCCATCCCAACACCCAACACGGCTCCCAGGCAAGGGGAGCCCCGCTTTGCTCAGTCGTCATCCACGGGGTGGGGGTTCTCTCCTTGCTAGAAAGCTGGGGTTTATATTTTATTTTTGCCCTTAGCTCACCGAGTGTTCAACTTCAAGTCTTTCTGCAACTCTGGCATCAATATAACAAGAAAAAAAACTCAAAATCTAGTTCTCAGAGAGTCAAGGCTACGTCCAGCACGAGACCCTTTGATGCAAGCGCTCGCTTCCTTTTGAAACAAGCGTATTTATATCCATCTCTTCCTTCCTTTAACTGCAGATAATTAATAAATCAAGCCCTAAGCAGGGTGGAAGATGGGTCTTTTTCAAGGCTCACGAGAGGGCTTGGCGGAGCAGGACGTGCAGGCACAGCTGACAGCTCCACTACTCCCACGGCCGCAGGCACGCGCAGGGACCTCGCCAGCAATACTTTATCTGAGCAATTAGAGGCATCGGCCTGCACCCCACCGTTGAGCAAACAACCCCCCGAGACATAGAGAGAGAAAAAAAAAACAGAAGGGGAAGGTTTGGCGGGGCAGAGCTCCTCGGGGTGCTGGGTTTTTGGTGAGGAGTGCGCCCGAGCTGGCCGCAAAACGGTCCCAGTGGCTCCAGCCGCGCGTTCCCACGCGCCCCAGACAAACGAGCTCTTTGTCCAGGTGTGCACCCAAAATCCACAGGCACCCAGGCCCGAGCCCAATCCCTCACCTCCATCACATCACCCCATTCATCACCCCACGCTCAGAAAGCTCTTTCCTCAGCCACAGCAGCACGGAGCCAGCTACAACTTCAGAATTCAATTTTTTCGGTCAACTGGAGAGCACTCACAAAAATCCCCCCCATCGACCCATAAATGAAGATGTTTCCCAGCTCAGTGCAAAATCCTGGGTGCAAAGCAGCCGGTGGATGGGTGCTGAGGCTGTGCCACAGGCAAGCCAGCCCCAGGGGGTAAAAGTTGGGCTGGTTCTGGCCCGATGCAGTTGGGAAGCTCAACGCAGGGTGCTGGCTAAGAGCACAAGGGGTGCCAGGGGAGTGGGGGTTTTTGGGGGGGCCTAGGAGGGTGCAGAGGGTAGAGGGGCAGCTCAGTGCTAAGGCAGGGTGCTGGGACCCGGGGTGGATAGGGTGTTAGGGCAGACAGGGTACTACTGAGTGCCAGGGCAGGGTGCTGGGTGCTCAAGCATGGTACTGGAGCAGGATGCTGGGTGCTGGGGCAGGATCCTGGGAGCTCAAGCACTGTACTGGGGCTGAGTGCTGGGTGCTCAAGCTCTGTACTGGGGCAAGGTGCTGGGTGCAGGGTGCCAGGTGCTGGGACAGGGTGCTGGGTTCTCCAGCACTGTACTGGGGCAGGGTGCTGGGTGCTGGGGCAGGGGGCTGGGGCTGCC